TCTTTTTCCATGTAAATATTTCTTCCATACTTTGTCATGTATGTATAAACACCACACATTGGAAAGGTTAAGAATGTGAGCAAAATAGTAAAATCATGATAAGAGTAATTCTGATATTTTAAAATAGAATTTTGATTTTTAAAAAACAATTATATAGCTGAAGTTAAACTGATTCCTAAAACAAAATGATTTTTTCTTTACTTACTTCATCTAGTATGCTTACTTAACCATTCTATGTCTCAACATCCTCAGTTCTTCAGTTATGATAGTAACGGTGACAAACCACTCTGACTTGGCACACAGTAAAAGCTGTATGTTGTTGTTGTTGTTTCTGAGAGTGTCTGGTGGAGTTGAACTGCCGACCTTGACGTGAGCAGTCCAGGGCTTATCCTAAAGTGCCATACCAAGACTCTAAACATTTTAGCTATTGTAATCTTGTTATTTTGAGAAAATTGGCATTAAGTATATATCACGCCTTCTGAAAGTGGGGAAATAATTTTTTAAATATAATTTATCTACTCCTACTATGATTTTTATTTATTTATTTTTTTTTAAGGAGCTCTAGTAGCGTAGTGGTTACGAATCGGGCTGCGAACCTTAAGGTTAGTGGTTCGAAACTACCAGTTGCTCCGTGGGAGAAAGATCAGGCTTTCTACTCCCATAAAGATTTACACCCTCGGAAATCCTGTATAGGGTCGCTATGGGTCGGAACCGACTCCACGGCACTTAACAACAACAACTATGATTTTTTAATGATTAAATATATGTAAAAATGATATTTACTAAAAACAAGGTCACTGTCAAAAAGGCTAAAGATTTTGTTAACATTTCCCAGAGAAGTTAGAGGAATGTAAGAGAAGCGCATTTAAGTCTTTAGTGAAAATAAGATCATTTACATTACTAACCATGAGCACTTGGTTTTCTTGTTGATGGAGTAAAAGTAAAAACAGAGGATCTGAATCTAACAGACAAGGCAAACATAGACACAGTAGTCTTGGGAGTATAAAAAAGTTGTTGTTGGTTGTATGCCACCAAGTCGGTTCTGACTCATGGTGAACTATGCACGGTTTCCAAAGCTGTAACTCTTTAAAGAAGCAGAATGCCTCCTCTTTCTCCCTTGGAGCAACTGGTATATTTGAACTGCTGACCTTCCACTACACTACCAAGATTAAGCTCGACTTAAATATAAAAAAAAAAATGAAAAGTAATTCGTATGACATGAACTAAGAGGGATCAACCTTTGTTGTTGATTCATGCTTTCAGTCATGCATTCTTTCATTCATGTGTTGAATAGTGTTTCAGCCGTTGGGCCAACAAAGAAGAATAAGACAGCATCCTACCCTAAAGTGACTTGTTGAGGACAGTCATATAAACAGTAAGCTACGTCCTATAAGAGCATGGCAGGACCCTGTGCAGGGAACAGTGTGACCTGGGGAAGGATGGCCAACTCAGCTATGAGAAATAAAGAACTTCCCAGGGCATTGGAGTATGAGACCCTACCTCTTAAATAGATGCTGTATTAGATATGCTGAACTTAAGGATCATTTTTATCTTATAATTTTCCACCACATTGTTTTCTTTTAATCTACTTTCTGTTTTCTAAAACAACGATAATAATAATAATTAAAGTCCTTAGAATTCTTCAAAGAGATTGTTTTTATTGGCACATGGGCAAGAGGTGAAAGAATAAGGTACTGCCAATTTGTGAATAGATTGTGAATGAGGACTTATGTGGAAGGCTCCTGGCTCCAAAGATGGCAAGGAGGCAGGCCAATTCCTGGGGTGATTCCAGCAAGGAGAAAAGGGGAAGAGACTGGTGTAGGGGTCTGGCTACTTAACTATAGCTTCTTCTTTCTCAGTCTATTCTCCGTTCTTCACTAGCCTTCCTAGGAACACCTATCCATTCTTCCAGAAACCTGAAGAAAGGTTGCTGCTTGGTGTGGAAACTGCTTAGGAGTTGGTTGGTTATAGCTCATTGGGTAACCCCACCTGAGGAAAACTGGGAAGAATAAAAACTCTTCAAGACCCAAGAGACTGCCACTTCAAGGACAAAATGACAATGACTGGCATAGGCATTAGGGTCAAATACTACTTCCTAACATTCTGTAAATTAGCCTATACATGTAGCTGCTTACTGTATATTCTAAGAGACAGGATTAGCCAAAGAGAGAGCAACCCTTGGACCAGGAATTTACTACGGTCTGTAGTAAGCATGACTGTATAAGAGCTGCTATTTTGTTTTGTTTTGTTTTTGAGTGTGTGTGCAGGAGGAGGTTTGTGATTTTTGTGAAGAACAATTGTTGTGGGAGTGGTGCTGTTGGCTAAACACTGGCCTGCCAACCACAAGGTTGGTGGTTCAAACCCACCAGCTGCTCCTTGGAAATCCTGTATTGGGTAGTTATGAGTTGGAACTGACTGGATGGAATTTAAAAACCACAGCAATTGTGGGAAGGTTGGGTTAGATTTCCAGGGAAATCTTCAAATAATCTTCATTTCAGTTAAACTCCAATTGACTGGGCCTGGTGAATGTTAAAACATCACCCAAAATGGTCAAGTTTCTTTGAGTTATTAAATACTAGTCTTTATGATTTAATTTGGTATACTGTCTTTTCCTTTTAACATTGCATCTTTAGAGTCAGGTTTTTAAGGTATCTCGCATGTACATTTTAGATATTTTAAACTTTTCATAAGAAATGAGATAAATCCCCTAAATGTTTAGGTAGTTCTGTAACAGCAACAGAATTCTGTTGACCTATTTGTGTGAATTATTCTATGTTGGTCAAATACTGAAAGATCTTTTTAAACACTTGGGCTGTGTCATGTGAGGAGTGGTAGGAAGTGACCTCACATTGATTTCCATAATGGATCTCATTTGGATAAATAGGAGTTTACTATTATAAGAAGTAGGGCTGAATATTCATTTTCTTAAGTTTCTTTTGTTATCTATTAACTTCCAAGTTCCACTTCTAGTTAGTGGTTGACGGCTGAAATCTCAACCTAAAATTCCACAAGTCATCAGATGGAACTTTTTAGCCCAGTAGAACTACCTATGTACACATTCTGTGTCAAAGGAGACAAAACAGAAAAAGTATCTTTAGATTGGAGTATCTATGTTGATGTGCTATAAATCAGTACATTTGAAAGTACACATCAAGGGCCCCGCAGTCTATAAGGAGAGTAAGTATGAAGCAAACATTTTTTTTTTTCTGAACCTTTGTGTGAATTGCTCCTTACCTTGAATTTTTAAGCTTAGCACTGATCAACCTTGAAATGATTCCGCTACATAAGGATGACTATTTCCAGAACGTTTGTCTCTTTTGTTCCTATTTCCTTTTTTAAAAAAATGTCGTAAACACTTCTCTATTTTTGAAATGGTTGTCTCAATATTTTAAAACAAAAGTGAAAAATCTAAATCTATTAGTTTGAATCCCATATATTTCATAAAACATTCTCTTCCTCATTATTAATCTGGCCTGTGCTTGCTTTCATGGAGTAGGCGTAAATGACTTTTTGGCTTTGATTCTGTATGAGTCTGTACTCTAGCAATAACTTGGGATGAAGCAGGAATTTATAGTTCTATTTTAACATTTTCAATTGTTACATAAACAACCTCAATGAAAGAATAAGTCCCTGAAGACTTCAGTGGCATGCCTGAAAGCTGCCAGACTCTTGACAAGGTCACAGGATGTAAATGCCATTACAGAAATTCCACAGCCTGGTTCCACTCAGCCACCTGTCATGTAGAACCACAGCCCTGTCTACCTGATCCACCACCTGGTTACCATAGCGACCGGACTAAAGCCATATATTCAGTTCTGAAGTCTGGCAGACTAAACAAGGAATCCAGCAATCTGGATAGCTTGTTTTAAAGTTATTTATTTCAAGTTGAGCATTTCACAAAATTATGAACACTGGGAAAACAGTAACATACACTGGTACAACCGAGCAGAACAATTTGGTTACCACTCCAGGTTGCAAAGTGACAGCTGGTGACTTTTGTAAGTGAATGGCATAATAAAATTAGCCTGCCTGGAACATCTCTCTGCCAAGGTTAAAACACTCCAGTGTATTGGTCAGACAAGGAAATTAGGCAAAATCTCCCGAGGGTCTTAAAATGAGATTGCTGAAATGTCAGGTTAACTATTTTCCTTTTTAATATGCAAACCAAGTGGTAAAAATGGATATACTGATATTGTATGCAGAATAGGGACAAGTGACAAAAGCCCTTTTAAAATTTGAGGTTGATAATGTAATCCAGGGAAGTTTTACATTTAACACATATGCCTTCACTGGATACTCAAGTCCCCATTGTGTCACCACCATTCTGCAGGACACTGGGCAAGAGCCAATCTCTTTGTGCTTCAGTTCCTTCATCTGTAAAATGAGGGATTTGGATGAACAGTCTTTAAGAGCTCAGCCAGCTCTGAAGTTCTTGGATTCTATGAGAGATATTTATAAAACAATGAGGCTGCGTTCCAAACGTGGTGTGTGGCCATCGTCATATTGTTTTATGGTGCCACGAGATTGAGCAATCCATTTAATGCACTTTTATAGGACAGTCAAGAAACCCTTTTCAATCCCTTCTGTGTTTGCTCTAGGGTCTTGCTAAGACACCTCAGAAACACTGCTTGAGATAATTGGCAAAGAAGAGAGTTAAAAACATCCCCCCACTTCATGCTTCATTGAATTACTCCACAGGCATGTCATCAAGCAATGCTTCGCGCGTCCATGGGATGAGTGAGAGAAAGGCCAGTACATAAAACACAACTGTCCTCCAGTCAAGGGTGCGGGTGGGGGAGGGTGCTATTCTGTTCTCTAGTCTTTTTCAAAGCATTTAGAATTTATCTTAAAGACACAGAGGCTTTATTGGCAAAACATTTGATCAAAAGTAAAGACATAATTATTCTGAAGAAATATTTGGGAAAAAAAGACGGAGCAGTACCAGAGGAAAGGGAGACCAAATATCTAGAAAGTGTAATATACATTCAGAGGAAGCTTACGGATCAAAGGCTGCAAGCAGGAAATTAAGCAGGAGACTGATGGACTGTTCCACATGGATTTGGTGAGTGGTTGGCATCCGTTTGTTGAGCTGGTAAAAAATGGTGGAAAGCACAGCCTCCAAGCGGGCCACATTGAGCTCTATGTTTGGGTCCAGGTTGTTCAGAGCATTTTCTCTCAATGCTTCTATGACGTTCCAAATATCCACCAGGTGCACTGTAGACAATCAAAGCAGAGTTAACATGTCAGCCCAAAGTGCTGGAAAGGTAAATTCATTATTTTATATATATCAAATTATATGTCCTGTTTTCTAGGCTTTTCATGACCTCGGTATGTGTTCAGCTGTAACAGAGGGTTGAGGTAGGTAAAGGTGTAGAGTGCATGGCTCAAGGATTTGATTTCAATATCTAAGAGCAAGCAAATGGCTTACAAGACACCACAGTAGGAAGTTACTTTTAATCTTCAGATTGATCCCTGAAATACAGCTCCTATCTCCATGTTTTATGTGAGGGATTTGAAGATCAGAGATGTTAGCTGACAAACATAAAGCACAAGGTCAGTCAATGGCAAAACTGGTATTCCAAGCCAAGACTCTCTGGCTTAAAACATTTTCCACTAAATACCTCAAAGACAAAAGAAGGGTATGTTTGCAAAAATGCTTGAAAAATATAGTAAAACTGCATTTGAATATTTAGAATATATATGTTGTTAAGTGGCGTCGAGTTGGTTCCAACCCATAGTGACCCTGTATAGGGTTTCTGAGGAGCAGCTGGTAAACTTGAATCACCAACCTTGCAGGTTAACTGACTTTGCAGTCCAGTGCATTAACCCACAGCACAACACCATATATAT